GCGTCGCGGCGCCGCCGACAGGAGGGTGGGCGGCGAGCCGAGGGCCCTCCTGGGTCTACACAGCGTCCGTTGGCTCCACCCCGGGCCGGTCGCTCCCACCCTTCCAGATCGCGGCCTCCCGCCAGGTCGTCAACACTGGAACCAGGTCGGCCGGAAGTGCAGGCCACCCGAGAGACAGCACCGCGCCCCAAGGGCTTCTGGGAGTCGCGCCGGGCGTAGGGACCGCAGTCGCGAGTGCAGGCAGGGGGCGGGGCTTACCGCGAGGGGCGGGGCCTCGGCGATGACGATAACGACGCTGGGCGGGGCAGGAAGCGTGGTCCTTGGAGCGCGCATCTAGCGGGTATCACCCAACAGAGTGGGTGGGCGCGCAGGGGAAGCCAGGTCTTGTCAGCATCTAGAATGTGATTATGACTTGTGTGTGTGTGTGTGTGTGTGCGTGCGCGCGATCTTTGTGTGTCCTTTTGCATCCCACCTTTGACCTCAGGTGGGTACCTTCTCCCACCTCCCACACTCATCCTCCAAGGGTCACGCCGGAGGGCACAGCGGGACTGAGCAGTCTTCCCCTAAAGTTTGATCTGTGCTGGCTTCTTTTTGTTATTCGCTGGCCATTTGTCATTTGTCATTCAGCATCTGGGTGAGAGCTGCCCAGCCTGGCAGATACCACCCACCCTTTGGCAAGGTAAATAATCAATAAATAATCTATAAGAGTAGAAAAGGGTTTTATTTGAACCAAACTGAGAACTGTTGCGTGAAAGATAGCCTTCTAGCTTATTTGGAGAAATTGCTGGGAAGAAGTGTGGCTTTCAGCACAGTTTTACATCTTGTCCGAACAAAGAACATTAAATAAGTCAGGGATATGTTTCTTAAAAGTTTAAGAAAAAAACAAAAAAGTAAACAGACAAACACAAATACAGAGAATCAGTATAATGGCTTGGCTCCTGGGAAAGGAGTCTTATTGAGGGAGGACCAGCATTGGCATCACCAGAAGGGAGGCATTTAATCTTTATCTTCAACATGGACATTCTTTTTTTTTGTAATTCTTATTTTTAATTGAAGAGTAGTCAACTTAGTGTTAGTTTCAGATGTTCAGCAAAGCGATTTAGTTATACTTATACATACATTTTTTTCAGGTTTTTTTCCATTACAGCTCATTTTAAGAAATTGAATATAGTTCCCTGTGGTGTAACAGTAACTAATATGGACATTCTTTACTTCTGGTCATTGTCCCCTCGTCTTAAATAATTAAAGCAGATGTACAAATATATGTTTGATAGGCCACAGTCTGTTTTAGTCAGCATAAAATTCAAGTTAACTGATATATAAGGCAGAATGACTTCCCCCTTCCTCAATATATGAACATTTCCTTTTTCATCCTCATGACTTTTTAAAATCCCCTCCATAAAATTCATCATAACCTGAGTTAGCTGATGTTTTTATTCATTTCCATGTTAAGGGTCAGTCTTATTAGAGCCCTTCAGAGTTTTCTTTATCCCTGGAGCTGGGAACTTTGTTGGCATGAACAACAGCCAGGCGTAATGCCATTATCACAACATCATCGCAAATTCCAAGGGCAACATTCATGCAACATTCTATAATGTCATATAAAGCAGAAAACAGAGCAGTGGTAGCCAGGGGCTGGTGGCAGGAGCAGAGAGACTGACTATAAAGAACAAAAGGAAACTTATGGATCATCTGTGTCTTGGCTGTAGTGGTTACATGCTGGCATGAGTTTGGCAGTTAGAATTCTACACCAAAAATGAGTGTGTTTTACTGTACAATCTTTTAAAAGTTCATCAAAATTTACACTTGGCATCTGTATGTAAAAGTTTTCTCATGTAAAAAGTTGTAGGGGGGGTTGGGTGCACTCAGTGGTAGAGAGCATGCTTAGCATGCACAAGGTCCTGGGTTCAATACCCAGTAACTCCACTAAAGAAAAAAAAAGTTGTAAAGCACTCATTGAGATACTAGAACCAAGTTTAAACTACTTTAATGAAAAGACTTTCTTTGAATTAATAAAATAGCTCAGGCTGTGGAAGGAGCTTAATTCTGAATCAGCGAAAAGGAAAACACAGGTACAGAATATAGTCCATCCTTTCTCTTTCTGGAGCTGGCCCTGAGATAACCACCGGTATGTACGACTTCTACTCTACATAATGTGTGTTTCTCCTAGGCTTGGCCAACACCTCAGTTCATCAGGGTTCTTTGCTGGGTAGGGGATAACCTGACCCAGACCATCAGTGGCCTGCAGTGGCCTGGGTGGTACTGCAGGTGTCTTTCGGCATCAGCCCTGTTGATCCTTGCCTGTCAGGATCAACCACCATGGCATTTCTTTCTTTCTTTTTTTTTTTAAATTGAAGTAGAGTCAGTTACAACGTGTCAATTTCTGGTACACAATGTCCCTGTCATGCATATATATACATATATTCCTTTTCATATTCTTTTTCATTAAAGATTACTACAAGATATTGAATATGGTGCCCTGTGCTACACAGAAGAAATGTTTTTTTAATCTATTTTTATATATAGCGGCTAACATTTGCAAATCTCAAACTCCCAAATTTATCCTTTCGCACCCCCTTTCCCTGGTAACCATAGATTGTTTACTATGTCTGCGAGTCTGGGTTTTTTTGGTAGATGAGTTCATTAATGTCCTCTCTTTTCTTTTCTTTCATTTTCACCATTGCCTTTTTATTCCTCCTATTCATTTGGTGGTCGGAGAAGAATCAAACAGAAAGAGGTCATTTGACCTACACTGCAAACATTGTGATGTTCCTGATTAGAAGACTTCCTCCTCCCAGCACTAAAACCTTCAGAAAAGCGTAACTCACAATTGGGGGAAAGAGAAACCAACAATTTTAACATGGGGCATTACACCCAGATGTGGCAGTTTGTACAAGCAAGTCCCCTGACCATAGTCTTTCCAGTAACTACTGTAGAACAACTTTTTCTCTTTTTTTTTTAATGAGACCAACCATTATACTTTTTTCTCCATCTTCAAAAAACAAATTTTTAAAAATTTTTAAAAAATTGAAACTTTTCTCCTAGTGGCAAGAGAGCTTAAAATGGCCAGGTGGGAACGAGCTTGTTTCAAAGGTACCATGACTGTTTGCCCTGGTGCAAGGATTCCTCCATTTGGTGTTAAAACAAAACTCCATACCACCAGAACCCAGAGTGTGAGAAAAAAAAACCCTAAAAATTTTAATGTGAGTCATTCAGTATAACCTACCCTTTAATCCATTCCTTATAAAAGTGCCACTAAGTGAAAGGCTGCTTAAATGGAGGGGGAAAAAAAAAAAGACTTCCACTAGATTTTAATTTTTAAAATGTGTGATGCTTTTACATCCCAACTCAAAGTACTCAATTTATGCAGGTAGAAAAATACGTTAATTGAACACTGAATGTAAGCTTACATGAGTAAAAAATAACTTGAAAGCAAAATATACATTTTGTACATAGAATGTAATGGAGGTTAAACATACTTGCTAAGGAGAAACAGAAGAGTTGTCAGTGGCTGGTGGTGTAAGGGAGGCAGTTTTTCAGAAAGAATATTCTCCCACGTCCTCAATTTTGTAAACTTTTGCAGGATAGGGGGTCAGGTGGGGAGGGCTTGTGCCCTCAAGCTCTGCTTAAAAGTTAAGTCACGTCACAGAAAAATACCTTTAGGTAAAATAATGGCTAAAAGCAAAGTGACAGAAAATAGATCTCTTGCTTTTTTTTTTCAACAGAGGCACTGGGGATTGAACCCAGGACCTCGTGCATGCTAACCATGAGCTCTACCACTGAGGTACACCCTCCAGCCCTGCACTTGTTCTATTTGAGAAGATAAATTCCTAGATGTGGAATTGCAGCAGTGACTAATTACATTTAAAATGTTGACAGGTCACACCAGATTGCCTTCTAAAATGGCCTTCCACTAATTCGCCCTCCCAATGCATAAGTGTATAAAAAAATGGTTTCACACCTCTGCAATAGTACTGGACGTGATCCATACAATGTGTGCTGGTTTGTGTTGGTGGTGAGGACTTAAAACTTCCATTTATCTGATCGTGAGTTCATTTAAGAGCTTCCTGTTTTATCTGACCTCTGTAATTTCTTCCTCCAAGAGTTGCTGTCAGACTGTGTATCTCTGATCCTCACTGCTTTCCAACAGCACTTTCTATAATGGCTATATCCTTGTGACACGTTGGAAGTATCTCTCAGCCTGTCATGTGCCTTTTAACTTCGCATGCAGTGTCTCATGGCATGGGCAAGTTTCGGTCTCTTATGTGGGCCTACCTACCACTCTCTCGTCATGGCTTCTGGACTCCGTGTTCAGCTTACTGAAGCCTTCCTAAACTCAAAGGGATAGACACAGTCTACCTTCTCTGAAATCTTAAGATCGTGTTTCCTTTTAAATCTTTAATGTTGTGGGGCACCGTGGGCCAGTGTCACGGGCGGTAAAAGAATTTACCAAAGACAAAGAGAAGTTTAAGAAACAAAGCAAAGTTTAATAGATGTGCTGCCACAGGCAACAGTGGGCCACGCAGATGGGAGGTGGCTGTGTGGGTGCTGGGTTGAGTGTGCAGTGTCTTTTATTGGGGAAGGGGCTGTGAACACAAAAGGAAAGGGAAACAGGTGTTTGCTTACAGGTGAGGTAGGGGCTTTGGTACACGGGAGGACAGTGGACTTACGACTCCAGTAAGATGGAGACATGGCTGACACAAGCCAGCCTGAGCTTGGGTGAGGTAGTCATTTCCCAGGGCTATTAATTCTGCTAAGGCAAACACATGTCAGGAGAAGATGTGCTTTGTCTTCCAAAGAGGAGCAGCCAAAGGGCTGGAAGTCTGGGGGAGATGCAGGGCCTCAGCAGGTACCAGTTGGCACCGCATTTAATCCATGTTGAATAAACTTCTCTGTTAAGGGGTGGAATGTGGATCTGACTTTATTTCCAATCGGATTACTAATTGTCAAACATCATTTAAAGAATCCACCTCTCCCAATGACAAGTCCAGAATACTATTTTTGCAATAAACTAAATTCACAGGTAAATGATTTTTTTCCAAAAATTTCCTTGTGATGCTCGCCTATTTGCCGTTCTATATGATTTCCAGAACAAAAGCGTCAACGTGAAAATATTCTACAGGACTGTGACTGGAACTGATGGAATGTAGAGACATTTTTACAACACTGAAACTTCCATCTCAAAACGTGTAATGATCTCCAGTTACTCAGAACCTCTGTTCTCCTTCAATAGGTTAGTAATTTCCTTCCTATATATAACCATATAGAGTAAATTCATCTGTAATTTCGTTTTTTTCTCGGTTTGATATCAGAGTTGAACTAGCCTCATGAAAGAAGTATTACAAATACTTCAAAATATTCCATTATATTTTTTTCGATCCTCTTCAACAGCTGAATGATGGTTCCTTAAAGGTTCATAATTAATCTGTGAACCCAGGTGTCTTAGAAGAGGGCTAGACTATTCAAGTTCTCTGCTCCTTCCACTTTAAACATTAGAAATTTTAATTTCTTGCCTTGAGTAAATATAGTCTTACCTTCTTCTCAGTAAATTCTAATTCTTCTGTTCCAGTCTTATCCAGAGCTCTAGACACTACCTAAAACATTTTCTAGGTTATCAGGTCATGGGTCATGCTGAATTTTCTCACCAGCAAAGGAACACACCTGAGTCAGGAGAAAGCCGTTATGTTTTATGATGATATCAAGCTCGAAACATACCATACATTCTAATGCCCGTCATTCACGTTAAGAAAAAATTTCTGTCTCCAAAACTGTTATGATCTCCTGGTAGCTATACTGCCTTCCAGAGTTCATGGTTTAAAGCTGATTTTCAAGCAGACTCAGAAGGATACTGAGCTAACATGTATGGAGCACTTAAGGCACTATGCTGAGCACTCTGTACTCAGTAATTTAAAATTTACTCAAGGCATCAAGTAATTTAAAATTTCACAGCAAGGGTTTAAGCATCATTTGATTACATTTACATTTTGAAAAGACTCCTGTGGCAGTGGTGTGAAGAATGACCTTGAAGGGGCAAAAGAGATGCAGAAAGACCAGTTTTTAGACACCTGGAACAGTCCGGGTGAAATGACTGTGTTCTGGACAAGGGCAGTGGGAAGTGAAAAACATGGATGAATTCCCAAACCCGTCAGCAGCTGTAGCCACAGGACTCAGCAACAGACGGAGTGAGGAAGAGCTGGGGGCCTGCGATGACCGTGCAGCATGGACTTTCCGATGTTGAGTAAGTTGTCCACTTTGTCTGAAGACATTCCCACATTCCTCACATTCATATGGTCTCTCTCCTGTGTGGATCCGCCTGTGTTGAGCAAGGTGTGCCGACTGCCTGAAGGGTTTCCCACATTCCTTACATTCATACGGCTTTTCTCCAGAATGAATTCTCTGATGGACAGTAAGGTAATTCTGCTGGCTAAAGGCTTTACCACACACACTACATTCGTAGGGTTTCTCACCATTATGAATCCTCAGATGCACACTCTTCCTGAAGGCTTTCCCACATTCCCTGCATTTGTAGGGCTTCTCTCTAGAACGCATTCTTTGATGCTGAGTGAGTAACCTGCGACGGCTGAAGGCTTTTTGACCAACATCACGGCTGCACAGTTTCTCTCCTGTCTGAATTCTCTGATAGGCAGTCAGGGGTGAGCTGTAGCAGAAGATTTTTCCACACTTGTCACGACTGCAGAATTTCTCTCCAGTGTGAATTCTGTGCTGAGCAAGTCGGATGCTATCCCTGAGGGCCTTCCCACAATCAGCATATTCACAGGGCTTCTTGTGGCTGTGACATCTCTGATGTTGGGCAAAGGATGAGCCAGTACTGCAGAACTTCCCACATTCCTTACATTTGTAGGGCTTCTCCCTAGTATGGGTTCTCTGGTGCTGAGTAAGGTGTGCAAGCTGGGTGAAGGCTTTTCTACACTCCTTACATTTGTATGGTTTTTCTCCAGTGTGAATTCTCTGATGTTGAGTAAGGTGTATGTTGAGGATGAAGGATTTCTTGCATTCCTTGCATTCAAAGAGTCTCTCTCCAGTATGCATTTGGCGGTGCTGGGCAAGGTGTGGACTCTGGGTGAAGGCTTTCCCACATTCCTGACACCTGTATGGTTTCTCCCCAGTATGAATTCTCTGATGGAGAGTGAGGGATGACTTCTGGGTGAAGGTTTTCCCACAGTCATTACATTTAAAAAGCTTCTTTCCTGCAGAGACTTTCTTGTGTTTTACTACCATGGAATTTTTGGAAAACCTTTTTTTATCTGAGTTGTGATTATAAACATTCTCTTCTACATTGTCTAGAGGGACAAGCTTCCAAGAGTTGTTACATTTGTGGTCTGTTTCCACAGTGAGGGTTTGTTTATGAGTGATTGCTTCTTGCCTAGTAACTGTCTCTTGGCTTACCAACTGCCTCTTGAAAAGATCTTCACATTTCTGATTTCCTCCAAAAGTGGGACACTCAAGTCCACAGCTCGTACTTCTCTCCACTAACACATCATCACACACAAATTGCTTCCGAGGGAAATCCTGTGTCTCACAGACAGAGTCCCAATCTGAAAGATTCAAAAGAGCAAATGTTTCCTTCATCGTGAGTTATAACAAGGGAAACATTTGACATGGAACAGGTAATCTGGAAATAATGAATCCCACCCTCCGACACTGTTGGTGGGCATGTAAACTGGTGCAGCCATTATGGAAAACAGTATGGAGATTCCTAAAAAAACTAAAAACAGACTTCCCATATGATCTAGCAATCCCACTCCTGGGCATATATCCGGAGGGAACTCTAATTTGAAAAGACAAACACACCCCAGTGTTCACAGCAGCACTATACACAACAGCCAAGACATGGACACAACCTAATGTCCATCCACAGATGACTGGCTGAAGAAGCTGTGGTGTATTTATACAGCGGAATGCTACTCAGCCATAAAAAATAGTAAGAATAATGTCATTTGCTGCAACATGGATGGACCTGGAGATCGTCACACAAAGTGAAGTAAGTCAGTAAGAAAAAGAACAATACTATATGATATCACTTATACATGGAATCAGGGGGAAAAAAAGGCCACGAATGAACTTAGTTATAAAACAGAAGCAGACTAACAGACATGGAAGACAAACCTATGTTTACCGGCATGGAAGGGAGTGGGAAGAGATAAGCTGGGAATTTGAGATTTGCATATACTACTATATATAAAATACATAAACAACAAGTTTCTAATGTATAGCACAGGGAACTATATTTAATATCTTGTAGTAACCTATAATGGAAAAGAATATGGAAAGGAACATATGCATGTATATATATGACTGAAGCATTATGCTGTACACCAGAAATTGACACAACATTGTAAACTGACTATACTTCAATTTAAAAAAAAAATTACTTTCTTTTCACGTGAAGGTCGTCTCTGTCTCCAACCTCCTATGGAGAGCTGCGGTTGTCCCTTATCTTTGGAACTTTTCTCAACATGGATGCTGAGTTATCTTAGTCCCTTGATAATACGTAATTCTATACTGTGACTCAATGTCCCACCAAATTACCAATTTCTTCATCCCCTTTCTCCCTCTCCCTCCATCTGTTCTTTTCTTTTCTTAATGGGGAGGAGGTAATTTTAGTTTTATTTATTTGTTAATTTTTTTAAAACACAGGTACTGGGGACTGAAACCAGGACCTCGTGCATGCTAGGCAGGCACTCCACCACTGAGCTACACCCTCCCCTCCTCCATCTGTTCTTCACACGGCCAATTATTACCTCTTATCAGGAAAGTTCTTTCTGTTTTTCTTTTTAAGGCAGATGGTAGCTTCCTACATAAACAAAGTATATAGTGTGACTAAGCAGAGCTTATTTCTCTCCCAATATTTTGGGTATTTGGAGGACACTGGCAGTCTGGGATCCAAATCATTTCCAAATATAATCAAATACTGTTACAGACGTGAAAGAAGACTTTCATAAAGGCATAATTTCCATGGGTGATCTCAACATTCCCTTGTCTTTGAGGATTTTCAGCTCAGTGGGGGAGATGGAAAATACGCAGGTCTGCTGAAACAAGGCAATTACAGGCTCTCCTGAGTGTGACAAGGGGAATAATGGTGGCTTAGTGGACAGTCGTTGGAATTGGGGAATGCTTATTATATAAGGTGGTGAGATAGTTTTTGAGCTCTGGTCTGATAGCCCAGCATGGACAGAGCGCCATGAGAGGAGCACTCTAGGGGGAGAACACAGGAAACATACAAGCCTATGTCAGTGAAGAGCTCGGTGAGTTCATAAAAGGTGACCAATGGGCTAGAGCAGTGCTTTTCAGCTGTATGTCAGGCACTCATTGAAACAGACGTTTGTAAGACACATGGTGCTGCCTCTGATTCAGAGGCAACCAGACATGATTCAGACTGCCTCTAGCCCCATCTGGTCTCCCAAGGCTCAGCGACTCAGGCTCTTGGTCTACCTGTGACATTCTTGGAGCAGACCTGGATACCTTGTATAGTTTAGAAAACTCTGGGTCAAACATAGTGAGAAAACTAAAAAATGACAGAGGATAATGGAGAAGTAGGAAAAAGTTGGTCACACAGGGGCTGGTAGGATTTGGATTTTTCCCATTTGCAAAAAGAAAGTGAAAAAAAGATTTACAGCAGCAGGATATCTTGTGATTTGTAGGCAGCATCTAATTTTGGAGTTAAGAGAAGATTTAAGAAACAGAGAAGCTTATATGAGTCTGTGTGGCAAAAGAAAAGAGAGGATGGGAAGGAACTAGATAAAGATTTTTTGCAAAATGAGTTATTAGAGAAGAGAGTCAAGCCGAAGGTATTAGGGGAGCCCATGCTAAGTAGCAAAGCTTCAGTTTTCTCCCTGGCTTGGAAGGCTTGAGAAGAGCTTTTAAGAAGCGTAAGAAAGGAGGAAGTTATTGACAGTACTTTGCATATAGCAAGTACTCAGTATTACTAATAAACAGATTACAATACAATACACACCAAAAAAAAGAAAAAAGAAGAGAAAAAAAGAAAAGAAAAGAAAAACAAAAAAAGGAGGAAATATCATCTTTCAAAATGGCTGAGCCATGCCTAGAAAGACTCCCCTGTCTGGTTCTCCCACACTCACCTGAGAATGGGTTTCTCACCTCACTCTTCATCCCCCAAGGCTCCTTCCCTTGTTCCAATAAGGAGATGACATATGGCTTAGAGGTACAAAGTCCTGCATACAAACAAAAAAAGAAAGAGATGAAAATTTGCCATTTTGGGGCATTTCAGAACCAGGTGGGCATTTCAGTCGGCTCTTTAATTCTGATGGAATGACCTTATAGGAATGAGTAGATCAAAGGGTGATTGATGACATAAAGCTTCTGGCATAGTCTAGTGAGACTGCCTACAGTCAACTCTATAAAAGTTAAACAACTTTCTGAGGGGCCGGGGGCAAAAATACAGCCCAGCATCTTCAGAATAGCATCAGACAGCAGTAAGTGAGGTAATGTAAAGGGTCCCTAGAAACAGAGTTCAGAGTTTGAGTCAAGTTAACTGTGTGATTTAAAAAAACAAACAAACAAAAAACCAAACCAAAAAAAACCAAAAACCAGTACTTTTCAGAGGAATATAACAAAATCTAGAGACTCTATAATGTGTTATTTACAGTGTCCTGGACAAAATCCAAAATTACATAGGAAGAGGAAAAAATGAATCTTACTTACAAAAAAAGGAAATGATTGGAGACCCAATCTGTGATAACACAGATGTTGAAATTAGTAGACTAGGATTTTAAAATTTTAAAATACGCTTATAATTTCTCAGCAGTGAAGTAGAAATTATAAAAAGAACCAAGTGAAAAGTCTGGAACTGAAAAACACAGTATCTGAAATTTTAAAATTCACTAGATGTGCTTAACAAGATATTGAAGAAGACAAGGAAAGAGTTCAAAACTTGAGGATAAATCAATAGAAATTATATAATCTGACAAACAGAGGAAAAAGAAGATTTTAAAAAGTAAACAGATTCTTAGTTACCCAAGGCACAATACCCATGTTTCTAACATGTTTGAAATTGAAATCTCAGAAGGAGAAGAGTAGAAAAAATTAGCCAAAGAAATAATGGCCAAAAAGGTCTTAAATTTGGTGAAAGACATATATTTAGTTTCAAGAAGTTCAGTGAACCACAAGCAGGATCCGGGGGCCCACAGACGACAGAAAGCTACCCCAGCCAATGAGGTGGCCCCAGGGCTGAGAAGAAGGGTCCATGTTAGTTTACCTAAGACCGCCTGAAGCAGTTTTCATAGTTTGAGCCTCACTAGTTCACTTACTGCACGTTAATAAAAACACACAGATTTTAAAGCCATACTCTGAATCTGTAACAATCTGGCTATATTCTTGGTGAACTGTGTTACAGCAGTGTTGGCAATACTGTAGGACAGAGGGAAAAATGCAGCATAGGGATTCAGTGAGTCACATCATGCCATGTGTTCCCAACTCACTAAAGGGCACATTCATGAAATATCCGATACCCAACAAATTCACAGACTGAATCTGAAGCTTTCAACCCCTGAATATCCTGTTTACTCTCCAGATTCCATTCTGATCCATACCCAGTAAAAAATAAAAAGTTTTAAACATAAATAAAAATGTAAAGACTCCCTTAGAGTAATTCTGAAATACATGGAGGGGGAAGGATCCTCACCCAGAGACAGCAGGTTCTGATAGTTCTCCATCATCATCCTCCTGTACAGTCTTCTCTGAGCAGGGCTCAGCCATTCCCATTCCTCCTGGGAAAAGTCTATTGCCACATCCTTGAATGACACCAAGTCCTGAAATGACACAAAGACATTCTTGATCAGCCAATGCTCATATGCACATGTGACTTTGAGATGAAGTGTTAAGTTGTCCCTACTTTATGTGAGAAATAGCCCTTGGAGGAAAAAAAACACTTAAACATATAATACTCAGCGCCAATCTAAAATAGTCCTTATCAAAGGGCTAAACTGCATTTATACAACGGTGCTAATCTGTTTCTCAGCATGGGGAAACCTGGATGGGTCGCCACAGGGCAATAAACAAGCACTTCAAGGTAAGACATACACTTGTGGTTGAAACCCCAAAAACAACAACAAAAAAAGTGTTCTAGGTTGATATTTTATAAATGGTACTCTGTGGGATCCAGTGCTTCAGGGGGAAGAGGCACTGCATTGATAGAGCTGGGGTTTTTTTCTTACATAATAAAAATAACAAATATATTTAGAATGCAGTTTCCTTGTGTTATATCATTAAGAATTAATGAGCATGCCATGCCTTACCAGAGTGAGCTGGATAACAACATGAGAAATTTACACCCAGCATAAGACTACAACACATCCAGCTCGTGCCCTGACGTTGAGTATAAGAAATCAACACGTACTTAGGTAATATCAAAATGAAACTGAACAATTATGATTTTTGGTTTGTTTTTTGTTTTGTTTGTTTGTTTGGCTGGGGGGTAATTAGGTTTGTTTGTTTGTCTATGATGGAGGTACTGGGAATTTAACCCGAGACCTCATGCATGCTAAGCACGTGCTCTAACCTCCCCTGCAAATATGCTTTATACCATGATTTTTTCCCCCAAGGTCTCCCATGTTAGGGATACAGTCTCAATGTTGTCAAACGCACAAACTCTAAAAGCTCTGAATCTGGAAGTTTAATGTAGAAGATTCATAAAGTGGTTCTAATGTTGAGGAAGACACAGATGCCCCCAAATCCATGTAACTCTCTTTGAATATTTCATGAACTCTGACAGTGGAGGAGGGGGTGGGCAGCAGTGTTTTAAAATTATGCGATTTTCAATATAAGAGGTGCAATTTAATTAATTAAATGTTACTAAGCGGACATTCGACTCTCATCTGTACAATGAAAGTAGGTTTTCCGTTTGGAAAAAAAATTGGGGGTGGAGAACTTCTCATTGGGAAAATGAAGGGCTCCCCTTACGTTCAGAGTTCCTTATGCAAATGATGTATTTTAAAAATTACAAGATTGAAAACAGAAATACAAGTAAAACTGAACCTAGTCCAGCAACAGAATCAAATATATACAAGAATTTAGTGCCAGATATAGGCAACATTCCAAAATTAATGTGAAAGAGATGAACAATTCAATAACTGCCATTGAGTCAACTGTACAGGCAACTGGGAGAAAAAAAAATGAACCTCTGCCTCACTTATAGCAGGTTAAACATTTACTGTAATAATTTAATGCAAATTAAATTTAATGTAAAAATTTAATTTGAGCATTACTCTCATAGAAAATCACAAAAATCAAGTTTAAACTTATCAGGAACTTAACTGTGAAGGGTAAAAGTAATCTTTTAGAAGAAAAATAGGAGACTATCTATATGCCCTAGGGGCAGGCAAAGATTTCCCAAACGGAACATAAAAAACGCTGCCTCTATATGGAGGCAAGTATCTATGTATGCGTGGAAACAGAAGAGCCCTGAGTGAAATACAGAAGCTGAGACTAATCACTGTCTCTTAAGAACTGGGAGGCAAGAGAGAGATTTTATATCTTGAATTTTGCACTATGTACATATATCAACAATTTAAATTTTTTTCAATTTGCAAAAATTAAGCAGGATAAGATTTTTCAGGTGAACAAATGAGGCTGAGAATTCATACATAAAAAAAAAAGGGGGTGAGGGTACAGCTCAGTGGTAGAGTACATGCATGCAGTCATGGGTTCGATCCCCAGGATCTCCATGAAATAAAAAATAATAATAAAAGATAAATAAACCTAATTACCTCCCTCCCCAGAAAAAGAAAAATGCTTAAGAATTTAAGGGTACAAATTAGAGATTTGGACAAAATTCAGCTAGAGCGGTGGTTCCTGATGGAGGGGGCTATCAAATGCACATTCAATTTGGAACCCAACTCACTGACACTGAGGCAACTTTATTCCATGTAACGGAAACCAGATCTTTCCACAAGTGTCAATACTGAATTTAAAATGAAGTGGGAAGAAGAGGGAGTCAGAGGGGGCTCTGTGCCTCATCACACTCAGTTTTCTCTAGCCATTAGGCAGTGTGAGTTAAGGAGAGTGCTCTCTGGGAGAAGTGGGAACCAGGGCCTCAGACGAGACTGTTCATCAGGGAATCTTCAGAAGGAAAGCAGCTTTACTGAGTGCCTTTCATGGAGGAGGAATGAAACGACTAACCTGGGGTATGGCTTTCACTACTTCAACTGTCATTTCCACTGTCTCTTCCTGGCTTCTTTCTTGGAGAACAGCGGTGTCCTGGGAGGGCAAGGCTGGCGGAAGAAGAGAGTGAGCAGATGAAGCCTTCTCTGCACTCCTGGAAGCACCACCCTAAAAATGCTGTCCTCCCCTCCTTCCTCGCAGCCGTCTCTGTTTCCACTGCCCCTCTAACTGGGAGATATGGGCTAACTATGGTGGTTGAGGGGTACAACTTATAATTCTGTTTCTCTTATGTTCGAGGTCCTAAATTTAATCTTTTTTTCTGAAAATTGCTTTCCCATTCTTTGGTCTTAATATGAATAAAAATAAGATGTGCTAGGTTCTCTGCAGAGATTATATTTTCTCACTTTATTTAAAAAATAATCCCATGAAGGAGGAGGGTGTAGCTCAAGTGCTAGAGCACATGCTTAGCATGCACAAGGTCCTGGGTTCAATCCCCAGTGCCTCCTCTAAGAATAAACAAATAAATAAACCTAACTACCT